TCTACAATGATAATACTTTCCTCCCTCAACCAATTTCAACAAGAATCTACCAAAAATAGTTCAACAACCTCCCTACCACTCTTATGGGTACATTCATGCACAAAGATCAACTCCCACACCTAAGAATCATACTTCTCATGACCTACATTTAGTCCAAATCTCGAAATTTAGGGCTAGGGAGTAGAACCTTACATATTAGATGAAGATCTTGTGGATTTTTTCCATGAATCTCCAAAGCTTGAGCAAGAATTTGAAGCATGATGTTGGTGACCTCCTTTATCTCTCTAGAATAGCTCTCTTCTCTCTCTAGAAAAAATTAGATTTTACCTTGTAAAATGCCCCCCTAAGGCCTTATATCAAAATAGGCTCGGATAAGAAAATTTCCAAAAATGATCTCCGAAGTTAATTATGTCATTCAACTATGTGGTAGCAGAATCATTATGTGGGCAGCAGAATTGATTATGTGGCCAGTAGAATAGTCATGTGGGCAGCAGAATTTTTATGCGGCCCACATAATCATTCTACGGCCAACGGGTTTGTTTTTTAAAATTTTCCCATTTTCTGTTCCATTCTGCGATGCTTATGCGGTCCGCGGAGCAGTTTTGCAGTCGCGAAGTTGACCGCAGAATCGCCTTCTTCTGCCAAAAATTCCCATCAACACTACAATGCACTCTTCAACCCAAAAAGTCTGTATCGTGGCTCATTTTCTACAATCCTCAAACCCATTAGCCTACCTCGGCACCACGAAACCTTAAATTCCTTGGCAAAATTTTTACGGGGCCTTATAGCCTCGTAGTCCCAAATCACAAAAGTAACTCACAGTCTTTCCTTATATCATCGCGAGAGCCTTTACATTTAGTTTTGAAAATTATTTTTCCTAAAATAGCATCCCGCGTTTTAGCCAACCTTATTACACCGCATGGCTTCTAGTAGTTCCCCTACTAGCCACGCGTATCAAGCCCACCTTATCGCACCGTATGCGTTTAACTCCCAGACCTTATACCACCACATGCGTATAAATATCACAACGTATCACAAATCGCACCTCAAGTGCCTATCACAACTTGCCAGAGAAACCAAACAGTAATAGAATTTCACAATAAGAAGCCCTCGGCTCAACCACAATGTACACAAAGTATCAACAATAACAACCAGAAGAATAACTTAATAGAATGATATTTCACAACTTAACACCTTGCCTCAATAGAAATCACGGACTTTGCAACTCAATACCAATTTCAACAACAAGATATTCCAAGAATAGCAATTTCAAGTAAAGAATTCAACAGTTAAATAATGAATATAGAATGAAAGAAATAAGAACTTCAACTAAACATGTAGAGCAATTAGCAAGTAAGAGATAAGACAAGTAGACGTGTGAAATTAGACTAAAAATGATGACTATAACATGTTAAGACAACTCAACTAAGGCATGGAAGGGATCTACGTAGCTAAACCATAAATTTTTCACATTTAGCCCGTGTACACACTCATCACCTTACGTACACGACATTCACATATCACAATTATCACAAACAACACCAATCCTAAGGGGTAATTCTCCCACACAAGGTTAGGCAAGTCACTTACCTCAAACCACGCTAAATCAATCCACTAGTAGGCCTTTCCCTCAATAATCCAACTTCGAACGGCTCGAATCTAGCCAAAACAATTTCATACTATAAATATAACTACAGAAAAGTAATTCAAAAAATAAAATTACGATATTTGCTTAGATTTAAAAACTCAACCCAAAAAGTCAACCTCGGCCCGCATCTCGAAACCCGACCAAAATTACCAAATCCCAACACCCATTCGATATCGAGTCCAACCATACAAGAATTACTCAAATCCGACCTCAATTCGCTTTTCAAAACTTAAAAATTTAGTCAAAGAAGTTTCTACCATTTTCTCCCAATTTTCCAACTCAAACCACTAATTTAATAAAGAAATTAACAATAGATTCTTGTAAATTAACCAAAACCGAGTTAGGATTCCTTACCTCAATGATCTCTCTGGAAAACCCTCGAAAAATTGCCTCCCGCCGAGTTCTCTAAGTCCAAATTATGAAATAAGAGATAAAACCCTCATTTTTAAATTTAAGTCTGCTGCCCAGCGATTTACTCTTCACGAACACGAAAAATAATGCTACTGTCCAAATTAACACTACGCGATCGCGAAAGTCCACTAACGAATGCGACACACTGCCTCCTGCAGCTAAGCGATCGTGGTTCCCTACACGCGATCACAATGAACAAAACGCGTGGACCAGTAGCCCCCAAATTCTTCTACGCGAACACGACCTCTTTCACGCGTTCGCGATTCACTGGAAGCCAACCTTCCGCTATCACAGACCCCTTCTTGTGATCGCATAGAGAAAATTTCCCCCAGTGCCGAACTACTCTTCGCGATCACATTAATCCACTCGCGATCACGTATAAGGAAACTAGAAGCACCAAATTCAACAATCATCCGAGTTTCGAGCGTCGATCATGTTCAGAATTATACCCGAGGCCCCAGAGACCTCAACCAAACATACAAAAAGCCCTAAAACATCATAGGAACACGCTCGAAGCGTCAAAACATATCAAACAACACTAGAATCACAATCACGCATCGATTCAAGCCTAAAGAACTAATGAACTTCCGAATTCTAAAACTAATGCCCGTTCATACCAAAACAACTCCGATTTACTTGAAATTTTGCACACAAGTCATAAATGAAATTACAGACCTATTCCAGTTTTCAAAATCGGATTTCGACCCCGATATCAATAAAGTCAACTTCCAGTCAAACTTCCCAAAATCTTTCATTTTCCAACTTTCGCCAATTCATGCCGAAATGAACTACGGACCTCCAAATCAACATCCGGACATGCTCTTAAAGACTAAAATCACTATACGGAGCTATTGCAACCATCAAAACTCAATTCCGGAGTCATCTTCATACAAGTCAAACTACGGTCAACTCCTACAACTTAAACCTCTAACTTAGGGACTATGTGTCCTATTTCACTCCAGAACTCACCCGAAACCAAAACCAAAAAATCCGACAAGTCAGGTAACCACAATATAATATAGAGAAAGCATAAATTAGAGAACCGGGACTAAAATACTCAAAACTACCGCCCGGACCGTTATATTTTCCAAGCAATCTTAATAAATAGGAATTGTCAATAGATGACCATTCTATCAACTGAAATAAGCATTTAGTTAAACAAGTCAAGAAATTCAAAGACTCAATTACTTAAAAACCTAACAACAACTCATCCTCCAAAAGGTTCTATCAAAACCCTAGATAAGAAATTAGCTACTCATGTTAGTATGTAAAAATACAACACTAGAATTCATAACAATGGAAAAATAGGAAGAAAGAGAAAAAACGTGAAGTTGAATCCTTCTCCTTGCTCCAAGCGTGTTCTGCCTGATTCCCAAAGTCTTCTCTCCTTCAAAAAGTGGCTAACTATCATATTTATATGAAGTAGGGTTGAATTGGGGTAGATTTGACTTCTCCTATTTCGGATTAGAGAAGCTGGAGGCGCGTCCAGACGCGCATCCAGGCCACTCCCAATTGCTGATTTTTCTGCTTCGGTCTCGATCTGGCGAAGCAAACCTCGCTTCGATGTCCAAGACTTTTCTCTCCAGCTCTTTTTTTTCGCCAATTTTTCTCCAATTTAATTCTTTTCCGCGCAAGTTCATTCCTACACATAAAAAACACAAGTAATGAGCATATTTTTATTTCAAAAATCATGCGATCTCCAACAACTCACTTAAGAAATAATATACAAATATATTTAAAATATGCACTTTTCACCCTTGACGAGACATGTAACAAGATATGGAGATCTCTAAACCAGACCGAAACATCATACTAGTAAAAGAAAAATACCGTTTGGCCCACCAACAATCCACCATTATCGATTACACTATGGATTGGAATATTGAGGTCTAGGATATAAAGCACAACTGCACAACATAGCATAGTTAACTAAAGGGTAGTCTTAGCACCAAAGTGAATGGACGCACCAAACGAAGTTAATGGCAGCAACGTGACAGACTTTACTCTCATTGGCCCTAAGTGCCAAACATAAATAGATATTATGCGTGTCAATCCATTATTTGTTGATACACCGGATCGTGGTACAATGATGTTGACGCGTTCACATCAATAAGCCATTACCACCCTAAAAATTAATCACTTCTAAACCCCACCCTATTCATACTCCTATTTGGTTTAGATGTTACACTAATTATACATAAACCCTTTTTTTTATTTAACACCCCCAAAAATATTTATGGTGATATTGAAATTTTTCTTATATTACCTGGTTAAATTGAATTGGCATAAGACTAGTATAAATGGAGTAACGTAATTCATAGAGAGACCTCTAGCTTGTTTTGAATAGAGGCATAGTAAGAAATATTACTAGTATATAAGATTAAATTGATCTATAACGACGGGTAATTTTCATGTCAAACGTGGTATATTAACCAGAAAAATAAATAAATAAACCTTTTATATTTGATTAAATTACATTCATAGTATAAATTCGTTTACAGAAGTATAACTTAAATGAACAAAAAAATTTCATTTTGATTTCGTGGAAACAACCTCTTACAGAAATGCAGGGTAAGGCTGAATACAATAAATCCTTATGGTCCGGCCCTTCCCCAGACCCCGCACATAGCGGGAGCTTACTGCATCGGGCTGCCTTTTTTAGTTATGTTTAGAAGTTAGAACCTTTTTTTTTTTTGCAGTATAAAATAATTTGGTACTCCCATTCTGGCTCCACAATACCGTTTCTGTATGATTAATGTCTATTTGTTTTATTTACCAAAACAAGGTAACAATGAGTGCTTTTGCTCGGACTGGGACTTTCTTATGTTTACTTTTTTTGTGCTTTTCCTTTTTTGTGGCTAGGACTGATAGTGAAGGACAAAGGGAACAAGAGAAATACGATGAATTAGGAAATATCGGACTCTCTCTGGTCTCAAAATAAAGAGATTGATACATCAACGACGAATAACCCAAATTTCATGTCATTGTCCGTCTGTTAGTGTTTTTTCTTCTTCGAATCCAGTTGCTTATATATTCTTTCCATCCTATTTCCATTTTCCAGCAAAATCCCTTTTTTGGGCTTCTTTTGCTTTTGGGTAAAGTTTCTTATGCTTCATTCTTTTCAAGGTGAATGTTATCTTCTACTCTCAAAGCTAGGGTTTTTCAACTTTTCTGGCTTTATTCTTCTTCTGTAAGGTCAGCTGGAAGCTTCAGTTTTTGATTTAGATATTTTTAGGGTTTTGGGCTCTTACTATTTCTTTCACAAAATTTCTTCTTCTAACCATCTTTTGTTCGATATTCAACTGTCAGCTTGTTCGAGATCTTGTTCAGTCCCCAAGCTTAATACTAACAAGCTATCTCAATTTCTTGATATTCTTTGGTAGGATAAATATATTATTCTGATAGTCATGATACTCCATTTGTTTTCAGAATTTATCTATTAACGACAATATTAATGTGCAGGAAAATGGTGAGAGGGAAGGTACAAATGAAGAGAATTGAGGATGCCACAAGCCGGCAAGTGACTTTTTCGAAACGTAGAAATGGAATTATGAAGAAAGCTTATGAGCTCTCAGTTCTTTGTGATGCTGAAGTTGCTGTCATCATTTTCTCACAAAAAGGAAGACTCTACGAATTCTCAAGCTCCAGGTATGTATGTTTCTACTTTCTTAATTGATTTCCTCATCCGAGATCTGACTGCATATTTTTTAAAAACGTTTATATATCTAGGATCTCGTTTTCAAGAAATTAATAATCATTTTTTGAAAGAACCTCTAGTACTTGGTTAGTAATTCCGCTGCAGTTTGATGAAGTAAGGAAGCATGGGGTTAGTGTACTTGGGAATTTTCCAACATAATTTGTGGAGAAACTTATTGCTATAGCCAGAAAACTCACTTTCTCAAAAACTGCATCCCTATAAAAGACCCATATTGATAGCAGTACTATTCTATTAGTGTAACTTGTTTTCTTCGTCAGTGAGCTGTACATTTTCTTGTCCAGTCATTTCTTATCTTCCACACAGCACTCATGGATAAATGCTGTTGAGTTGTGTCAGTCCTTCTGTTTTCTGGTACACCTTATTTCGTGGAACTAAAGAGAGTTACAGCCATGCAGTGGCAGTCTTTAGACTCTTTGCCTATATTATGTGAAATAAGGAGATTTTATCTGAGTCATATTAGGATTTACATAAGGACGTGAGCACACCTATGAGAAATTTTAGGCTGCAGCAATGTCACATGGGCTAGCTCTTTGTACCATTTTATGTAGTTTCTGTTTGCCTGAGTTTCCCACGTTGGTGGAGCCAATGGGTTGTTTTCTCGTGCTTTGAGAAATCTTCACGTCAATGAATTAGGTCCAAAGTCCTTTTTCGTTAATTACATGATATATGAGCTAGAGTTATTCTCTGTTTACTCAATGTTGAATATATCCTCATTTTATATATATATATATATATATATATATATATATATATATATATATATATATATATATATATATATATATATATATATATGTGATGTTTGTTGCTCTCAAACGCACACGCAAGTATACGTGATCGACAAGTAATATAGGATTGTAAGTCCAGATATCGTACTCACAGGGACTTGTGATTAACTATCAACTAAATTAAATCGAATAATTAATATATTCAAGCGACTCCTAACGTATGAATATTTAACTAAAATTAATCTAGAGTAACAAATTAAGAGATTAAAGAAAACAACGACAATCTTAAAGACGAATTCAATGGGAGAGAATATTCTAGAGCTATGGATTAGCTAACATTCCCGTTGAGTTTTCTACCTAAATTGTCTAATTAATTTATCTAGTTTATTGATTGACGGGGTTAATACAACTCGCCTATTTAAGATAACCTAACGCCTGTATTCCTATGGAATTAGGATTAACAAGAACGCATTTATAATTCCCGTATAATAACCAAGCAAGGCGATAAGGTATATTCCTATCCTAACAGCAAATCCACCCCCCTCCCCCCCCCCCCCGACCCCCCTCCCACGACGTTAACGACTATTGCTCTACTCAGTCTTACTATGCAATCTAGAATTCCTCTCCCGACGTTCTAATCCTAGATTCGTAGTATAGTATTCAATTGGTGATCAAGCAATCAAATAATTAAGCGCAAGATTGAATATATAAACCAATATGATATAATAATAAGAACAATTTAAGCTTCAAACTACAACGTTCATATAGCACCACACACTCTAGAACTAATAAACTATGAAATTAAAGGAAGAGAAGAGAAGAAAAACTAGTTAGAAGCCTCCTCCTAGCGTGGTGTGTGTTCCCCTGCGTAAATTCTCCTTCAAAGTATGTTAGTTCTCCTCCAAATTAGGTTTAGGACCCCTTTTTATACTAGTTGGGGGGGGGGGGGGGTCTTGGACCGAAATAACCTTGTCCCGGGCGGAGTTGGACAAAAATCACGTCACCAGCGCCAAGCGCTGTCCCTGGCGCTGTTAATTGAAGCACACTGTTTCTGGCGCCACAGGTAGCGCTAGGCGCTGCATTTTTTGCTTTTTCGTCTGTTTTGGCTCTAATCTCGCACCTTTCGTCCCCAATTGCACCTGGATCACTCCTACATATAAAAACACTTCAAATTAATATAAATTAACATATTTTACATCCTAAATCCACGAAACAAAAATAAAACATGAGGTGATATACATATAAATATACATACTTTAAGCTAAACATCAACACCCCACACTTAAACTCTTGCTCGTCCTCGAGCAATGGGACTATCAAATACAACTTAATTTTTTTCCAACATACACTCTACCAATGACCATGGTTGATAGCAACAATTAAACTGTAGCATATGCAATCACTTACACTTCCCTTTGCTTATGCCATTCTTCACATATTCACAATAAAGACAACATGCTCATAACAATCCTAGCCTCAAAAGCCGATTCAATATCACAATGCACTTATGGCTTGAACACCCAACATCACGGAGAAGTCTAATAATGTTACTTATCCCTCGTGAAACCATGTGCCCTCGCAACAAGAACAAAGAAGTAAGTTGATTCCTCACATTTGAATCTCATGATCAAATATAGTTCAAGGACTCACATATATCAAAGAAAATCTCTCACTCTCACAAAGAAGTCATATGCATGCAAAAAGTACCATATGCTTGCCCATAATGTAAATCTCCACTAATATAGGCTTACTCGATCTAAAATCAATTAGGACTTTATATAGTTGTAATGTGGGCTGAAGGACGGGTAAGATATATTTAGGATTAGTGATTCACCCTCCTAAGCACTTTAACACATCACATAATAAACTTTAAGCGCAATTTCTTCAATGCACTTCAATTTCACAAACAAGATCATTCCCCAGAGTTATTTCCTCTTTCTTTATGCACTATTTAATTTATACCCCACTAGCAAGAACAACACAACAATTTATTCCTCTCAATTTTTCCCTTCTCTTTTTTTCTTTCAACTAGTCTTTTTCCTTTTTCAATTTTCGCTAGTGGTGTATTCTTTTACAAAATAGCACCTTTCTTCTTCCATTGGTTTCCCTCAAATGCCACCCCACACTTAGTCCTTAATTCTTCTAGCGCTCATTTTACAATTAAAGTGCCATAAGAGGTAGTAGGATCAAAATAATGTCAATTAAGAATAAAAGGGTATAGGCTCGTAATGTGGGTGCCAATTAAAAGTCTATAGGCTCAAAAGGGTTCAGTAGGGATAGTTTTTATTTTGTGATAAGCATTAAGCTCAAAAAGATCAAAGAAAGCCTAAAATCATTTTTCAAACCGAGCATCGCCTAAAATTTCGCTTCAACTCACATACCGGGCAAGTTCTAGACTCAATCACAATAACATGGACTACACAAACCTCACTTCACACATGGCACATGACTCACTAAGGACGGTCTCATTCCGACTCTCAAACAATGCAAGTATTCACGGAGCCACAAGATATTAAGCATTAAGCACAAAGTGAATATAAGTCAAGCAAAAGAGACATAGTCGTCACAAAACATGCTATCCAATTTCATCAAGGCATCATGAACAATTTCAAAATATTGGGAAGATACTCCACATACCAAAGCTTAAATATGCTACTATCAAACAAGTCAAAGGAGCCTAAGTTCATCAATCTTCCTCCTTTTATTTCCTAAAGTCCTAATCTACTCTAAAAATAATAAAAAAATTACTACCCGGTTCAAACTACATCCCATGGAAAAGAACCGATGTATAAAGAAAAACCACGGAGGATTATTGCCACCTAAAAATATAAAAGACATATTTTTGGATTTTTTTTTCATTGGACCTTAATCCCTCAAGAAAGCTGTTCACAAAATCCATCATCGGGAAAAGTCCCAATTTCTCGATTTTTCATTCTTTTTTTTCGTTTTTTTTTCTTTTTTACACAAAAACAAGTATACTAAGAAAGAGTACTACAAATAAACTAGGATCGCACGGCAAATCACCCAGAAAATCTCCTCATCCCACATTCAAAATTGTGTAATGTCCTCAATGCACACTGAAAATAACCAGAAAGGTAAAAGAGACTCCCTGGTAGGCCAAGCATTAGCAGCTCGCGGGATACTCAGACTTCTCCCAAGTATGGTCGGTTGTGCGGGTACCTCACGCTTAGTTTCAACCACATGCTCGCTTTTGCACATGCTTATTGGCTTTAACTTCGTGCTCCTACTCCTACAAAACACAAAATAATACTACAAAAAGAAAATACAATAAAATATAAAATAAAAAAAAGGAAAAGAAAAGAAAAAAAATAGAATTGGGTTGCCTTCCAGCAAGCGTTTGATTTAACGTCGCGGCACGACGCCATCAATTTCTCTGTCACGTTCCTGGGGCTGTGGTGTAAAAATAAAGAAACCAAACAATAGATATTGCATCTTGCACTTCTTGGCCCTTAATTGAGGAATGTCGTTTTGCCTCCTTGGTATGGAAAATTTCAGAATATAAACACTTTGTTCCTCATCCATTGACTCCTCCATATGCTCGACTGGATCAATTCCCATGTCACCAACCAAACATAATGTTGAAAAGTGTTTAGAATGAGGTCCAATACGCTCCAACTCCAAAATTGCATTATTTTTGACATCCTCAATTTTGCACTCTTCGTCAACCTTGGCATCATTAATAATATTTTGGTCGAGTAGTTGGAATTCCTCTTTCCGCTCCACAAGCTGGCCAGTATCCATAAAAATTGGTTGTAGGGCATCAGAAGCCTCAACTCTGTTATTCAATTGAGCCTGTAGGTCGTGGATATCTGAGCCAAATTGGTCCATCTCTTGCCTGAGCTCAGTTCTTCCTTCTATCAGTTCTTTTGTCATATTTGAAAGACCATCACGGAGAAACTCATGAGATTTTATCAGTTGAGCTTGTTCCTCTAGCCAAGATTGGCTCACTATATCAGCTTCTTCAAAATAATCTTCTTGTGGGAACTTGCTCTCTTCATCGAGTTGAGGTTCTTCTTGGAAATTGGCTATTAATTCGTCCATTCTAGCCTGGAGTCTTTTGATCGCTAAGGCGTCAAGAACTTGTTGCTCGGCTATTTGCCTTATCATCATGTTCTGTTGCTCGGCTGCTTGCCTCATCGTCATGTTCTGTTGCTCGGCTACTTGCCTCATCGTGTCCATAA